CTGGTCAAGAAGATGTATTGCTTCAGATTGCCTTTTCCATATAGCATTAACCACTGCCTGCCAAATGTCTTTGTATGGCCCCCACAAACTGGCAGCTGAAAATAATACGTGTTGCAATTAAATAAAATTACGATAAAACATTGCTACATTATACAACTTACAAAAAACATTTAAATTACATTAATTATAAGTGATGGCAGTAGCAAGAGTTCAGCTGCCCCATAGATACTGGTAGCAACAACAGTAACGATAAGTGATAATAATTGCTTTTGTCATAAATAGCCACATCTTAAATGAGATTACAGATAGTTCTTGCTTAACAACTGCCCTCTTTAATGACCATTTAAAGTTACAAAGATGCTGAAAAAGGAACTTTACTACCAGTTCTCACACTTATGAACATTGCAATGCCCCCATGGACATGTAATTAATTTTGGATGATTTGCAACTTGTAAACGCCCATCACAGCATCCCACAGTCACCACTAACATTTGTGCGTTCATAGCCAGCTGCCAAAAAGCAGAGTCGATGAGAAAGCCAGCAGTAAAATTATAATTTGTGGTCAGATGATGTCTTGCTTAATGATTGTATCACTGAGCAACTGAGTAGCCAGTCCCAATTGTGATTTTTAAGTGAGGATTGCCTATATATTATTGTCTTGGCTTTTCTTACCATTGATAAACACAACAGAATAGTTCATGCTTCACAAACCAGTAACTGAAGCATTAAAGGATGGTATGTTCATATGAAATTCAGGTGGTCCTCACTTAGTGAGCATTTGTTCACCGATCGTTCAGTTAGGACAGAACTGAATCAGTGGCATTTAAGATCAGCCCTCAAAGTTCCAGCTGTGGCAGCTTCCTGGCAGTTAGGTGACCATGATCTGGGTGACCTTAGCTGCTGGTTTCCACAAGTAAAGTTAATGGGGTATCGAGCAGGTCGCAAATGGTGATCATGTGACCTCACACTTAATAATGGTGCAGGATTTGCTTAATTACATCAACTGAGACAAATTTTAGCAGTTAACTGAAGACCACCTGCATACAAATTTCATTGTGTTATTGATAGTTCATATCCACCACACAATCTTCCACACCAAAAGAAAATTTCCAAAGTACCTGGGAATTGTCAGCTGATGTATTTGTATTTATTTATTAAATTTAGATGCCAGCCATCTCACTGTTACAGTGACTGTGGATGGCTTACAATATGATAAAAATGTAAAAGAAAACAAAATGATTAAAATTAAGACAAATAAGAAACTAAAACCCAAGAGGACAAACGACATGGGGTGGGGATATTCTCTCTACCCTGTGGGCCACCAAGCATCTTATTGGGGGTCCAGGCCAGCTGACAGAGCAAGTTTTAATGCTCCTTTGGAAGGCTAGGAGTGTTCTAGATTAGGGATCACAGCAGAAAAGGCTCTTCTTCTAGACCCTGCCAACTGAAATTCTTTGGCAGATAGGATCCTAAGTAGAGAATGGGACGGGCTAGTCCCACTGAGGTGAGACAGCTCCTGAGATATCTTGGGCCCATGCCATAAAATGACTTAAAGGTAATGATCATCGTCTTGAATTGGACCCAGAAGAAAACTGGCAACCAGTACAGTGTTACATGTACCACCAGAGGGGCCTCCAAAACTATCTGCACTGCTGCATTCTGAACATGTTGTAGCTTCCAAATACTTTTCAAAGGTAGCCCCATGTAGAGCGCAACTTAAATTTCAAATTACTTCACATGTTGTTTTCTAACAAAAAAAAAAAAATAGGATACAGAATTTTAAGTAGCACAAAACTCATAAATTACTATCATCAGTGAAGATCCCAGGCATTTCACTGGGATTTGCACGTGTTTGCAGATCTTATGCCAAACTATTTCCCATAAAGAAAATAACCAACACATAAAACACCTCTACAACCTGAATTAAGAACTGAAGAGATTAAAAAAGCCATAGTCCCCAATTGCCATACTAATTCATAACAAAATAACAATCTAGTTTAGTAACACTAAAATAAACAACATCAAAAGCCAAACACTATCCTCTCTTAGTCTTGCTGTTTTCGGTTTGCATTCCTTCTCTATCTATGAAGCAACAATAAGTGACATATAGAATGTTATTCCTTACTTGCTTCATGCTGTTTTCTGAACATATCTTTGAAGTGAGAACCAGAAAAAAGCAGTGGCCAAGCACAGCTCTCAACACCACCCCAATATTGCAGTGAAATCAGGGTGACACCTTCCCAATATTATGATTATTTGTCAATAGTGTTTTCTCTACTCTGCCTCAGAGGTGGATTATGAACTTCTATCAGCCTGAGAACACTTGGCTACAGACATATTGACTGCCACATTCCAAAATTGGGTGAGGGAAAAATCAGACACAAAGGATTTGTATGAGTTAAGGTCTCAAATGATGGTTTACAATTCTACAAAGCTCAAGGATGTTAGCCCTTACACATTTTATCATTCCAAAATTGCACACACAAAGACAAATGAAAATATTGACTCCACTCATAAAAAAATGCCTTCCTATGTTCTCTGATGTCCAAGATAGGATGTATACAGATACGTAGTCCTCGATTTATGACCACAATTGAGCCCAAAACTTACGTTACTATGTGAGACAGTTGTTAAATGAATTTTGCCCCATTTTACAAACTTTCTTGCCACACTTGTTAAGTGAATTACTGCAGTTATTAAGTTAGTAACATGGTTGTTAAGTGAATGGCTTCCCCATTGATTTTGCTTATCAGGTGGTCGCAAAATGTGATCACATGACCCTGGGACACTGCAACTGTCATAAATGAAGACAGTTGCCAAGCGTTTGAATTTTGATCACATGACCATGGGGATGCTGCAGTGGTCGTAAGTGGGGAAAATGGTCGTAAGTCACTTTTTCAGTGCCACTGTGATTTTGAACGGAAACTAAATGAACTGTTGTAAATCAAGGACTACCTGCATTGTGGCAAGGAAAAAAAAAACCACTGTTCCGCTGACAATCAAAATAACCTAAGGACAATAATTCGGATTTCCTCTGAACCTTCAAAGAACGTTTAAGAATTCGAATTTTCATCACAGAAGAACCTCTTTTAAAAAAAAAAAGAACTCTAGATCTGCTCTCGGTCGCCATTATTTATATTGTTTTATGTTGGTTTTTCAGGTACTGTGTTATTAGAGAGTAGCTTTCCCCACTTTCTCCGCCGCATTAGTCAAAAAATCTTGATTGAGATAAATCAGATTTTTATTTTATTTTTTGGATTGGGAGCCGCACCAAGTTCGGTGTAAAATCGGCGGCTCTTGCTAGATCCAAGGGATTATTTTTTTCCGGTGCCGTAAACAGTTTAGATCCAAGACGAAGTGCAAGGAAAGCAGCAAGCCCGTAAATCTTCCTGGAAGCAGCTGTTCTACTCACTTTTTGAGCCGCTAAGTTAAAAAAAATTGCGCGAAGCAAAACAAAACAAAAAAAGGGAGTGAAACCCATTCATCTCGAAGACCGAAGGTCGCCTTAAAATGATTCAATAGTTTCCCATAAATGAGGGAGAAACCGGGCGCGACTTGTACCGCCTTCAAGGGAAAAAAAAGACGCCCGAAACCAAACCACCGTTTCTCCTCTCGCCCTCGAGCCTCCCTACCTGAAATTACCGCCAACGGCGCCGACATCTTGGACGCTCCCTCACGCGAGGCCCGCGCTCCTCCTGCCCGAAGGCCCAGAACTCCACACGGGGCAACCTCTGAGATTGCCCGGTAACGCTATTAATCTTCCGACACACCAATTTAGGGTGCTTAGCCTACCAAGAATAATTCCACCTCCTGCTTGCTTCCACAGCACGGTTAGCGGATGGTCCCTTTGGCTCGTTAAATAAAAATCGACATTTTTTTTTTAAAAAAAATTTTTTTTAGCAGTAGAGTGATAGCCACATGCCCAACAATTAAGAAAAAATAAATAAATCAGGCCCTAGAAGTAACGAATGCTGGGAATTGTAGTTCGGCCCAACGTTGATATAGAAGCGCGGGAAATTGAACGAGCCTTGCAACGTAGCGGTGGGGGATGGGGGGGCAAATCTCATTCGTTGGCTGAAACGATGATGCGGATTGCTCCACAAAATATGGCATTTTGTTCAAAAGTATGGATAAGAAAGTCGATTATATAAAAAATATATATTTTGTACATCAGAAATCAACAACAGATTGATCAACACAGGGGTCTCTATTCCAACCTTGGCCACTTTAAGCCTGGCGGACTTCAACTCCCAGAATTCCCCAGCCAGCTTTGCTGGTTGGGGAATTCTGGGAGTTGAAGTCCGCCAGGCTTAAAGTGGCCAAGGTTGGAATAGAGACCCCTGGATTAGCAAATTATAGCCTATCTTTCCTTTAAATAGTTAATGTAGCATGTAAGTTTCTCCCTCGCACACATTCTATTTTCGCAATATCTCAATGAACAAGATTAAATAGAATTGCACTGAGGAAAGCTCACCAACGTTATTGAAACATCTTGTCACGGTTCCCGTGAGATTAGTCTCTTTTTTGGGGGGCAATGTTTTAGACAAGGCGTGGACTTTTATACATCAGTTTAACGTACCAGAATACACGGGTGTAAAGAGAATTTAAATCTGAACGTATTTTCTAACAAACTCAGGCTGATATTAGCCAATGTAGAATCCAATGCATTTAAATCTGAACGTACTTTCAAACAAATTCAGGCTGATATTAGCCAATGTAGAATCCAATGCATTTAAATCTGAACGCATTTCAAACAAAAGCAGGCTGATAATTATCCAATCATACCGAAAATATATATATAATCATCGCTTCATGAAGCGAGGTTTACAAACGTTAGAAATTCTGTATAGACAGGGGGATCTCCTAATTTCCCAAACCATTTCCCCAAACTACTGGAGTACACCTACTGGGGGCGGACTCCTCGGACTGCGTGGCTTTGCTTCCTGTCTTTTCTTTCCGTTACGCCAACTCGCTGGTGGCTTGTGCGTATTCACTTTGGGAACAGCTTCCGGGGCATGCTGGCAGCCCCGCTTTAGCAGACGATGCTGGCGTGCAACTGATGGTCGATAGTTTGGAGGTTGGCTGTCTTTCGCCTAAAGGTCGTCTGTGGACCTACCCAGCTCTACTCCCATTGTGGTGGAAGAGAATCAGCGACCCAGAAGAAATTGTTGCCCCGGGGATCGGATAGGACGATGGGGATGAGTGGAGACCAGGAGGAACCAGGGAGCCGCCGGAGCCGCTGACCGTGGCTTCTCTCTTCTCCTCTGCCTGAGCTCCTCGATCTTCTGGGGAATCTGTGGGGTAGGATTGAGTGAAAGATTGTCCTGCACGCAACGGCATCCACGTTACCACGTGTTACGTACGAGCAAAAACTTGAACTTAATGTCTATGGAGATTCTCAGCCATCCAGGTCATGCTTGTCCCAAAGGTGCTGTTTCAAGGGGCAGCTGGACTTCCTTGTTTTTCCTTGAAGACTTTTCGCGTCTCATCCAAGAAGCTTCTTCAGCTCTCAAATAGCGTGGAATAGCAGAGTTGGAAGGGGCCTTGGAGGTCTTCTAGTCCAGGGATCACCAACCTTTTGGACCTCAGGGACCACTAAATTCATAATTTTAAATCCCGCGGACCACTAATATGAATTTTTTAAAAAAGATAAGTAGAATTTAGTGCAATTTAGTGCAAAATTAAAAATGCAAATAATTTTTATGCAGACCACCAAAATTTTCTCACGGACCACCAGTTCTAGTCCAACCCCCCACCCCCGCTCAGGCAGGAAACCCTGTAACCATTCAGACAAATGATTGTCCAACCTCTTCTTAAAAAAGAGCTGATGAGCTGAAGAAGCTGAGAAGCAAAACATCTTCAAAGAAAAAGAAACCGCCGTTGCCTTATGAAAAAGCATCTTTGGGACAACTTGAACTTAAGTTCCCCTGCTTCAGCGCTCTAACATTGCAGGACATTGCAAATGATCTAAAACAGCATTTCTCAATCTCAATAACTTTTCGCTCTACCATTTGAGAGCAAACTCATCTTGAGAAAATGTTTCTTTATAATCTGATACTGTGCCTCGGTGCTTTAAAGGGGATGATACGTTTGTCAGTTTAAGTAACCTTTTTTATTGATGTTTGTACTGCTTCCCATATAAATAGGCTTTAATTGAATTAATGTTATTTTTTTTTACTATCACGGTATGTTATAAATGCTTTTTGTTTTTTAAAAATGGTCTAAGTAGATGGACAGTAAAATTATCCTGCATATTTTGCAGTTTTGCAAATAGGTATTTTCCCAAGTCTTTTTAATTTTTGAAATCTAATTTTTCTCACTTTGGAACTATTTTTCATAATTATACTGCTCTGTTTTATGCTTTCTTCTTGATTTTTGCGAAGACATATATTGGAAGTTTTGTCAGTTATTAAAAACAATTAGCTGGCAATCTTAATATCACAACTAATTTCTAAATGGGGTTGGGTTCTATATATGATTAGCAGAATATAACTGCTACTCATTGAGGCAATTCCTTTCAAGTGTTCTGAATGGTGTTCCCTATTGTATTAAAATAAGCAGAAATCCAGTGGTGGCAATTCTCTTGATGAAACCACAACTAGACTTCTGGAAATGCACCATTTTCCTTAATTATATTGAGCTAGTATTGATTTGAGAAAATGCCATTGTGACCAGTGTGAGAAAAAATATAAACACTTTATTGATCCAACAAGGGATAAAAGTGCCATCAAAGCTCACAAATAGTAGAACTGTAGTTGAGGTAATAAACATGCTCATTATTTTCCTAAAGGCCTTACGGTTCTTTTCTTTTTTTTAGATCTAGGTATAGTGCTTTTGCTGGCCACCATGTTTGTGTTAGTAGAAATGACAGATACAGTGCGAATTCCTCCATGGCAGTTTGAAAGAAAGCTTAATGATGCAATCACTGAAGAGTTAAATAAGAAGTTGGCCAATAAGGTAATTATTAGAAGTTCAAACAAATTCATTCTAAATGCCTCATCAAACTATTAATGCATATTTCTGTCTCAGGATAATTCATATATTTGATGAAATAAACTATAGTATATGGCAACTTACGCCATAATAGAATTGTGAATTTTGAAGAACCTATGAAACTCAGTTGTTAATTACTGGAATAGGGATGGGCAAGCTTGTGGTATCCTTATTTTAAGTTACAATTCCCATAAGCTGCAAGCAACAGTGATCAGCGATAACAGTTTGAACACTAGAGGACATTAAAAAGTATGTTCCTCAATTAGAAAACTGAAAAACGGCCTCCAAATTTTCATCAGTTTGTTTAGTACATTTCTAGTACTGTTAATACATAGTAGTACTATAGAAATTATTTGCAGTTCATCATAAAAGGGACTGAAGGAAAATAGGATTGGTTATTCATGTTTCTATTCATCTCTGGTTCCAGGGATTGTTTATCATGGTTTTGTTTGTTTGTTTTTAATTCTTGTACACTTCTCGGAATCACCTGGCTGAGATGTTTGGAAATATAAATGACATAATGACTTCATAAGTTAGACTCAGTTATGTAGCTTTTCTTTTGAACATATGCTTACATGAACTTTCTAATAATTGCAATTTGTTGCTCTCTGGGCCTCTCCCATTTCTTCCTCATTCTATTATATTCAGGTTGTATATAATGTTGGCCTCTGTATCTGTCTATATGACATTACAAAACTGGAGGATTCCTACATATTTCCAGGAGATGGTGCATCACACACAAAAGGTTTGACAACTATATCTATGTTTGACCTCTTCAGATTTATGGAGAAACTGAGAACCACAAGACTCAGTATTTAATTAAAAATATTTAACTCCACTTTATTCTTAGTAGCATTTTTCCTTAATATAAAATAAAAGTATTTATGATATGTTCCATTCTAGAGAATTAATGGTTTGTCCTCCTGCGATATATCCTAGTTCAATTTTTGTTAACTTAGTATGATAGTGAATTAGCTTATGATTAAATACGATATGTTATATAGCAGTGATGGCTAACCTTTTCGGCACTGAGTGCTAAAAGTGCGTGTGCGCACTTATAATGCAATGCATATGCAACACCCCGCATACACCCCGTCCCCTGCATGCTCTCCCCATGCATACATGCACGTGTCCCATATATGCCCCGTGCATGCCCGAAAACCAGCTGGCCGGCAGGAGGTGCGCACGCATGCACGGCAGAGCTGAGCTGGGGCGACACTCGCATGCCTGCAGAGAGGCTCTGCAAGCCACCTGTGGCACGCGTGCCATAGGTTTGCCATCACTGTTATATATCATTATTAAGGCAGATATTGATGTTTGAGAAATCATGAACAAATTGGCACATGCTGTAGACATTCAGCTTGCTAATGAAGCTAATTTTACTATTCTAATACAAATATGCATTTTAAAAAGGGCATTTAATAGGTTAGTTTTCAATTTACAAAAGAAATGTCTGCAATGTCATATGACTATGTCAGTTCTATCTTGCAGTGCCAGTTCCTTTATTCATAATACAGTAAGAAAGATATTGATTCATATATTAGATCTATGTTTTAATTTAATCTTTTAATTTGGTTTTAGTTTTAATTACTTTAATTTTTTAAAAGGAAAAAAGAAACTATAGAAATTACAAAATGCATCTATGACATGGAAAAGTTTGCACAATAGTGTAACAACATCAATGGATCAATATCAGTGGATTAGAACAAATTTAGTTTAATGACTGTTAAACACTTTAGCACATTCAAACCTGTTACATTTAACTGTTATTAAACCGTTTAAATTAGCTAACTGCAGTATGTAATAAAAATAAATAATAGGTAAGCTTGAGTTGTTCAGATTTATGATGTTTGCTGTTTTTTTAGTACATTTTAGATATGTTGTATTTCATCCATTTTTGGATGAAATTCTGGTCGGAGAGATAAAAGGCTGCAGTCTTGAAGGTGTACATGGTAAGTTATTTTTTTTAATTATTTAAAATGATGATAGTTACTACAAAGGTATTTTTTCAAAGATGTAGCGGAAAGTAATAAAAAATAGTGGGAAGTATGTTGTGTGTAACCAAGGTAAGCAAAATTTGATGAATTTCTTGTATGAAAACAAATCTGGAACTAATTGGTTCCTGCCTAATTGATTAATTTCTTATCCGCTGTTTCAGTAATTTTATTTCTGTCATTTAAAATCAGTCTAATAATTTCCAGTATGTAGAAACTTGGGGGATAGCAGAATCAAACTGACATCTATTTATTGGATCAGAAAGCAGTTACCAACATATTTGCTGTATTATTTGATAGTGTTTTATTGGGTTTTGTGTAAAATTATAAAGATATGTCTTTTTAATCTTGTCCTTTGAGAAGTGGCAAGCACCTGTAGTCACTATAACCTTAAGTATAATGTTGAGAAGATTACATGAAGATTATATAATTAGTGGTGTGCTTATTGATATATAGTTTTATTTTGTAAATGCACTTTAAAAGTTAGAGCTGAGCAATTTTAACTAGATATAGGCAGTCTCTGACTTACAACAGTTCATTTAGTGACTGTTTGACAATGGAAAAAGTGACATGACGGTTTTTCACACGACTGTTGCAGCATCCCCATGCCATGTGATCAAAATTAAGATGCTTAGCAAATGACTCATATTTATGATGGTTGCAGTGTCCCAGGGTCATGTGATCATGGGACAGAATTTTGCAAAATTCTGACAATCAAAGTCAATGGGGAAACCAGATTTACTTAACAACCATGTTACTAACTTAATAACTGCAGCGATTCACTTAACAATGTTCATTCAGAAAAAGAATGTTCATAAAAAAGGTAAAATTCACTTAACAAATGTTTTGCTTAGCAACAGAAATGTTGGGCTCAATTGTGGTTGTAAGATGAGGACTATCTGTATTTAAGTAGTATTCTTGAATTTGTCCAGAGCTGATTAGTTTGAATGTTGCAATATTATTTTTAGAGGAGTGTTGTCTTTTTTTCTCACATACATTATTGGGCAATCTAAGGCTTAAGCAGGTGCTATTATGTTGTATTTAAGTGGCTACTTCATTAATTGATCTTTCCACAGTTTCTCTTGGGTTCTTTGATGACATACTCATTCCTCCAGAATCTCTACAACAGCCTGCCAAATTGTATCCTTCAAGTAGCTCTATAAAACAGTACATCCAATAGAATAATAATAGGCAGTAATAGGAAGAACTGGGGAAAAAAATCACAAATTCAAAGACCTGTAAATAGAAGTAAAATGACTGTGGCAAAAGAAGGCAAAGATAGTATCAAACATAATCGGCATTTAGAGTACGACTGCAAAACAACTGGAACACCACTTGAACGCCATCGGCATTAAAAAGTCACCATTAATCAATTGCAAAAACCAGCTTTATTTGGAACAGCTTACATCCAGAAATAATACCTTAAACACCATCAAACAATATCTGCCTTTTCCAGGCCCTTGGGAAGGACTTGATAGGTGGATAAAAATGCCAAATCCAGTCTTAACATCTGGTTTAATGTGTGACCAACTAAATTAATAATGACAAAACTTTTCAGATCAAGCTTATTTCTGTTTAATTTTTTTAAAGTCTGTTTACTTTGTTAGAAAATATTTTATTTCAAGCCTCAGTAAAATCAGCAAGAATTATCCTGGTAAAAATGCAGTAGAGATGAATTTAGGGACATTAACAAAATACTTTTTTTCATATTATATGTCTTAATGGAGTACCTTAATATCATAAAATTTACAGATAGACTATTTAAACCATTGATACTAATTTATTAAATCTGGAATCCACAGGAAAATATGATTGCCTAGTCTTCTTTGAAAACATCTAGTGAATGTGAGTCCTCCATCTCCTATGCTTATCAGTCCTATTAAAACTTCTTAACACTCAACCAAAATCTATCCTTCTGCATCTAAAACCATTACTCCATGTCCTACCCTATAGGATATTAGAGAACAATTCTTTGCTTTTTTTGTCACGTTGCCTTAACATTTTCATGTACCCAGTGATGAAACGGAACAGGTATGGGTTTGGGAATATGAGACTGAAGAAGGAGCTCATGACCTGTACATGGATATGGGAGAAGAAATTCGTTTCCGTGTGGTAGATGAAAATTTCATTGATACATCCCCAACAGGCCCAAGCTCTGTAGAGCCTTCCACATCTAGTGGCACTGAGGAGACACAGAAGAAAGAAGCACCCTATACTATTGTGGTATGTACTTTTCTTTGGAACCTTTTAAAATGAAGAGCTTTACCAATACCGAAATAGAGAAATAAAAGGGAAAGACTATATCAAATCAAGTTTAATGCCTGGTAAACCATCCATATAGTTTTGGTGGCAGCAATACACATTGCTTTCCTCTGGAATATCCACAGACGCTCACACACACCTAGTATTGTCTACGACTTGAGATTTCCTGGTGATCTTCCCTTCAAGTATAAATAGCTCTAATTTTATTTAATGAGTCATGGGGAGAGAAGAATTTCCAATTGTAGTTGCTTTTATAACGATGTGTAAAACGTTTCATTTTGAACTATCTGGAGAACATCCTGTTTCCACTGTGAATCTACCATTCCTATTCTGCAATCAAGTTGCAATTCTGCAATTGGGGGAAGGTGTTTTATGTTCAAAATGGCTAAAAACAAAACATTTTGTACCCATGTAGTTAATGCTTGCTTCCTAGAATGGAGGGAAAGAGAGTAGAATGTGAAGGTATAGCTTAAATATGGAGCTGAACAATATAGTTTTGTCAAATGTTTTGCATTCATACAATGTAAAGTTAGGCATTAGATTTTTGTTTATGACTGTACGAAATATGTATGGTCTAGAACCTAAGTATTAGTAGATATTTATGCTACTTTTTGAAAAGTTACAAAGGGATAGGCCTGGAGAGCAAGTGTCAACTCAAAATATATTTAACGCATATTAATTCAAATGTTGTTACAATTTTTCATTAAGGGATCTATCAGTGAACCCGGCCTGGGTCTCCTATCCTGGTGGACTAACAGTTAACTGAAGGTAAAGATGGACAGTTTACACAGAAAAAGCCAAGAGATGCCTTGATCAACAGTTGCAGAATGGTAACTTTTTTTCCCATTTCTGCTTTATATTAAATCAATCTGATCGAGATATAGTAAATAAATGAGTGGGCCTAGTGGATTGTCATCAAAATGGAATAACTATGCATCGTAACTCTAGAACATTACTGTAATAATCCTGATGCTTTTATCCACCAGATCAGGTTATAAGCGCCTGGGAATGGTATGTTAGCTGAAAAGAAAAAGAAAAGAGAAGAGAAGATCCTCTAAATTAAAAAAGTGCAAAGAAAAAATATTCTGAAGGATTGACCTCATGCTGCTACACTTCATTATGAAAATAAATGTTAAAAAGGACTGATACTAAAAAAGCACTACTTAATTTTTTTCCAAAGGATGGAAGGGCTGCTTGTTTTTTAAATTCAGACAGGTTATAGTAAAAATGTGGTATAGCTTGGACAATGATCAAGTTGCCTCTTCTCAGTTTTATAACAAATCATCATTTGGAAGGGCCGCAACCACTGGGTAAAATGAATCAGCTGCTTTTCTGCCAGAATTACAGTTAAAATAGAAGAGAATATGTGTAGCTCAGGGATGAGCTGTAGACTCCTTGGTGTTCTCTGAGCTTTGTTGTTTGCACACTTTTCATTACCCAAGTAGTAGCATTGGTATTATCAGATGATACCTAGTTGGGTAAAGTAATGTTTGCAAGCAAACAACCAAACTCAGCAAGGACTCCATATTACAGTCAGAAATTCTGCTTTATCCAGACAACAAAGAAAACTTATCTTTCTATGTTGGGGGGAAAAAAAGAGCTGAGGTGGTGCAGTACTGCAGCTACTTCAGCTGACTGCTAGTTCAGCAGATCAGCAGATCAAATCTCACCGGCTCAAGGTTGACTCAGCCTTCCATCCTTCCGAGGTGGATAAAATGAGGACCCAGATTGTTAGGGGGCAATATGCTATTTAGTATACTGTCTTTGGTGTAAGCCGCCCAGAGTCCTCGGAGAGTGGGCAGCATAGAAATATGACAAATAAATAAATAAATACAACCATTATTGTTTTTAGCATAAATACTTCAGAAAGACAGATGGCCTCCAGGGATGTTCCATTGAGAAGACAACATTTTACCTAAACACACACACTTACCTCTACATGTTGCTATAGCTCTTTTTCAACAAAAGAACTTTATATGGAAGAAACCCCCATTTGTCACATGTTAAGTATGAAACAGGCTTAGACCATTTTTGTTGCACTGTGATAGAAATTAAGAATATTAAAATAGTTCCAACATATTATCAAAAAAAGTTTTCATGATGCTGCAATTTTGTGTTTGTGCAGGACTTTTCTATTCTTGGTGTTAGTTTTCTGTTATGATTACCGCTGAGATGCAATGTTTTGCTTTCTAATATTGTGTAATAAAAGTTGGTAGAAAGTTGGTAGAAAAATGAATAAGTTTAAAATCTAGCTGGTAACTATACAACTAGAGTTTTTCCCTGCTTTTCAAAGAAAGGAATTTGGACTAAAAGCAATGATCTCTATTGGTATTAAATTTGCCACTTTTTTTGCTTGTTATCCCTTGATGTTATTTAAATGTATTTAGAATTTTTATATTATGCATCAAATTTTTGATACTTCTTATATAAAATATAAAATTACTAAGAGTTGACAATAATTCTTATCATTTTTCTGACAAATTCTGTGCGATACTTGCTATTTTATACCGGATATAATTGGATTCTGATCTTTCTATTGTTTTAAGACTGGATTCTGTTAAATTACTTCTACATATACCATATATCTGTTCTTCTTTTGGCAGATTTTTTTTCATTGATGCTCATTACTAAATTCAGTCCTTGAGACTGGAATAAATTACTGAACACTGTAATTCTAGGATGTATATATGTATTCTTACAAATTGATTCTGCGTAGCCATTTAGCAAAAGAAGAGTTAAAATGCCCGCTGATGATTTGAAGCTTACCATCTATATTCAATTTTAACATTATTTCTTGATAGAGTGGCTTTCAAAACACTTAATAAAATTTGTAAGTCAAATAATGCAGATGTGCAAGATACAGGAAATGAGACTTAAAGAATTGCAATAACACAAATAATATCAATGTTTTGTGCTTACATAGGTTAAGTGTTGAACTTCTGAAAAATTAGGATAGTGGGATGTGATTGTTTGGTCACTGCCCTGAAAAATACCATGTTTCCCCAAAAATAAGACCCTATCTTATTTTTTTTTTTACCCTGAAATAAGCGCTTGGCCTTATTGCCATGCACTCAAAAACCCCGATTGGGTTTATTATCAGGGAATTGCAGAAAACAGGGTATCTGCAAAAAGAATAGTTTTCAACTAAATGGGTCCTTCACTATAACACCAGTCAAACCTGTCATATGAAAGATATGCAGGAGAAAGACTTCTGCATTTAATTAGAACTAGGATATCACTGGTCAATTTAAGTAGCCAATATTGGTGTGAAAGGATTGCACTGGGAACTGTTCAAAACTTATTTTAAAATAATACGCAAAAGAGAGAAAGTGAAACTACTTATAAAAACTAGATGTACATATCTCTGTGTGTAGGTAGTAGGTAACAACATAGTTTTCTTATTTGCAGTATTTGCAGTAGTTCCATTCTATACAATCACCATAAACAGTAGCAAATATTGAAACCTCAACTGGAAACATGCCTATCAGGAGATTCAAATTTTCCACTGCTCTGCATGAGGATGAAAGCACCACAAGTATTGATTTGCGGTTGCAAATAAATTTGAGTAGGCAAATTCACAAATACAAAATTCACGATAAGCAGGAATCTGCTATACACACACATGCGCGTCTTATGTTGTAGAATTATTCACATTTAAATCTGTTTATTCAAACAAAGAAATAAGAATTCAGATTAGTCTTGCATTTTCTTCCATGCTTGTAACAAAGCAGTCTAGAATCATAAAAATGAAATAAGCCATTTATTTTTGTTATCCTTTAGTTTATTTCAAAATCACAGTTATATACTTAAGAACATGATTATCTACAAAAAATAGCAAGTCTTTCAGAACAACATATACGAAATAAATTTGATCCAAAAGGATACCACTGTAATAGCCATGTTGCATGAAAGTAAATTGCCTATTGACAATGACTCAATCCCTCAAATTCTTCCAACACATTTGATTAAAATTGCTCACACAAATGGTTATCAAAAGGATCGAAAATAATCTGATGAAGTGGAGATATTCTCTGAAACATCCAGTAATGGGATAGTGGAGAGAAACAATATAATTCTAAGGAAATTAGAGACGGAGAACGGAAAAGAGGGAGCATCTGAAAGACTAAACGGGAGAACTTCATAGCAGCATTTTATTGAGGATATTCCATCTGCTTATTCAGACAACAAATTTATGCTGCTATTAGAATATCCTTGTTTGGTGCTTTTAAAATCTTACATTCAAACTATGTAATAACATGTAATGTGAATGATGAGATTTCATTCACGTTTAAATATAACAAAACTAATCAATATAATGCACAATCTCCTAGATCTCTTCCCACCCATCCCCAAAAACATCATTACACGGGGAGTAGGAAATTTCATATTTGTTGTCAAGGAAGTTGTTCCTTACTCCAGCTCTCCCCTTGCTGTGTGTTAGGGCTGAGTTCCCACAGATGTGTGAGAGAAGTCTGTATGCCAGATGTCCAGATTTCCTCACCTGATCTACATTTTGTACATCTTAAAACAGTAGCAGATGAGCAACTCACCTCACCTACCTCGCCTTAACCGATTTTAATGTGATAGTCAAAGAGACTAAGCAACAGAATTACAACCTGCCGATGAGGACGCCAAGAGTACAAAACCGAGTTTCACCAAACTAGAAGTATCTCTTCCTATCCTGGCAATGCCGCTGCTCATGCAGCAACAGTTTCCAACCCACTGAGGGTGACAACCACCACTTTCTCCGCATGTAGTGGGTAAGATACCAAAACTTGGTTCAATGAATCTGTCTACAAATGGAAGAATCGCCAAGCTGTCCTTAGCAGCTCCCTCAAAGGTTCCGGAAGCAATGTTTGCTAGGAGTTGTAGTTGGAGCTTGCCGAGGCAGGCTAGAGGAGCGAAGGATGAGAAAAGTTCTTACCTCTCTTTCAGGTAATTAAAAAGTTCTGTTTAAATGAAGCAGATTATAGCACTGCCTTTTTCACGCAAAACAAGTTTAAAAAGGTTTCCAAATTACAGTGCTGTACTGTATGAAGTTTCACACTGCGATCTTCTGTGAAGCTAGGCAAAAGTATATTCCGTTTAATTCAGTGTGATTTTATTTTGTATGTATTGCACCGTTCTGTTCGATTTTACTAATGCTATCAAGAAAAAAGAATGAATATTATATAAAACATGAGTTGATATGTTTATATGTATTTTATCAACAAAACAAAACAGAAAACAGAAAAACATCCAACAGTAACAACAAAAAAATTATGTACAAAGAAGAAAAAAATGAAGCGAACATCAAATAAATCTAACATTGAACATACAAACACCTCCACCCCAGTTGGATGCCAAAAAGAAAATTTAAAAACCCTGATAAATTATCCTCCCCTTACATAATGGGTCTGCAAATAATTCTAAGCTTTCTCATCCTTATTTAGCAAGAAAAATATATAAACAAATATTTCAGATGACGAGATCTCTAATAATCAAATTGACATAGCATCTAACCATAATATATATAAAGTAAAAAAAAGAACAGTTAACAGATTAGCCTGAATATGACACTAGTCTTCAAAACCCTCTGTTAATCATCTGTTATTGTATTTAATTCATAGAATGTCCACAAACGGCTTCCGGTCTCTTATAAAGCTGTCTAGTCCATTGCTTCTAATCAAAGCAGTTTTGCCATGTCTGCTAATTCAGTCAATTTTAAAATCCATTCAATCGGCATCTCTTTTCCTTTCCAGTGCTTAACAAATACAGTCCTCACAGCCATCAACATATAAAGAAATAACGTCCCAAACTGTTTTTTTATTGATCCATAATACCTAAAAGAAAAGCTTTCATTAATTTTTGTATCTCAGATATTTTCTGCATTATCATTAGGTTTATTCAGAATGTTTTCACATACTTGAAAGACCACCACATATGATAAAATATACCTGGATTTTGATTACCGTATAAGATGCTCTGGACTATAAGACGCACCTACCTTTTTTGGAGAGGAAAACAAGAAAAAAAATCTGCTTCTGCCTCCCAGCAATTTGCCTCCTTGCAGCAAACAGCAGAGGCCAAAAATGGGGCGTGCAAAGGCAGCAATAGGTAATGGCAATCCCTGCAGCCTGAAACAACTGATGGTGACAATCAGCTGCTTGTGCTAATCAGGCTGTGCTGAAGCTGAAACTGAAACGGGCTGTTTGCTGCAAGGAGGCAAATTGCTGGGAGGCAGAGGCCAAAGGGTGGGGGCCGGTGGGTGGGTGGGGCTACATTCAGCGTATTAGACACACCCAAAGAGCCTTGATAGTACAGTGGTTTAGTGCACCCTGTTATTAACACAGCTGCCTGCAATTTCTGCTGGTTCGAATCTCTCCAAGGCTCAAGGTTGACTCAGCCTTCCATCCTTTCTAAGGTAGGTGAAATGAGGACCCAGTTTGTGGGGGCAGTAAGCTGACTTTGTATAAAATATACAAAAGAATGAAGGTTATTGCTTAACGCATTGTAAGCCGCCCTGAGTCTCCGGAGAAGGGCGGCATATAAATCAAATTTAAAAAAAAAAAGTTTCACCCTCTTTTAGGGGGGAAAAAGTGCGTCTTATACTCCAAAAAATATATATTTCCACCATTTGTTAGAAGTTCCTCTATGCATTTTTGCTAATCTATCTGGAGTCAAATACCAATGATACATCATTTTATTTTCTTTCAAACTATAATTCAAAGTAACTTTTAATCCATTAGTCCATATATTCTCCGATTTATCTATGGTTATGGTATCTCTAAATTTTTTGCCCATTTTACCATACAATTTTTGACATATGTCTTCCAGATTCATTTTGAGTAACATTTCATATACTTTTGCAACCAAGTAGCTATCTCCAAAACATAAATTCATATCCAATTCAGATTTAATGCCTGTGAAAACAAAACTTTTTTTAAACACGTTTAAATCTTTCAAAAATTCTATAATAATTAAACCAATCACAAATAAATTGCTAATTGTTTTCTTGTCTTTATCTTTGGTCCTTCTTTTTGAAATACCAATAAATCCCAATATGTCATCCATTTACATCACAATAACATCTCTGTTCTATGTAGTGCTTCATGAGGTGATAACGAAAATGGCACTCTTTCAGCCAGTCTTCTTTTATATTTCCAGCGTACGTGCCCAATAGATTGCCTATTAATATGATTTTTTACTTTGTCATGCCACAAATAAGCATGCCACCCAAATCTCAAATCAGAGCCTTCGAGGCCTAACAACCTTGAGTTTTTTTAGAGTTATCCAATCTTTTAATCATACCAAACAACAAATATAGTATAATCTAAGATCTGGCAAACCCAGATCTCTTCTCTCTTTAGAATATTATAAGAGCTTGTATTTAATTCATGGTTTTTTTCATTTTGCCAAATGAATTTAGATATATTTTTCTGCCAAGAAGAATCTTTAATCAATATCAGTATACTCTGTAATAAAAATAGCCTTCTAGGTAGTACATTAATTACTGAACTTCTTCCCATCAATGACAATTCTACTTTTTGCCATCTGTTTTAAATTCAAGTTTATCTCCTTCCATATTTTAACTTAGTTCTTTTTATATAATTTAGACTTTCATCTATAAGAATCACCTCCAAATACTTTACCTTTTTCACAAAACGTTAAAGTCAGTTTTAAGTTCCAATTTCTTCCAATATTATGTTAGTGTTACTAACTTAATAACTGCAGTGATTCATTTACCAACTGGCAAGAAAGATTGTAACATGCGGCAAAACTCACTTATCAACTGTCTAGCTTTAGCAACAGAAATTTTGGTCTCAACTGTGGTTGTAAGTCAAGAACTCCCTGTATATTTGTAGAAATTGTACTGTATACCGGATATACTGCTGAACTCACTTGATAAAAAAATGAAGTCAAATTGCAATAATTTTTCTTAATAAATCCATGCTTTCAGCAAACCATCATCTTTTTTTTTTTTTTTGCAGCCTAAAGATTCAGTGTACCTGGTTATAAAGATTTAAATTAATTCAAAGGAAAGTCCTTATTTTTGTTAATCTCAGGCTTCAATCCTGCCCATTCATTCTTCTGCCTGCATTTTCTGGTAGAACGTAGTTCTTTATTTATTGTTCTACTAAGATTATTAGAACTGAAATAATTTTTTATTAAACACTCGGCAGGTTTCACAGATTAAGGCAAAAGCCTCCCAGATATGGGATTTTAAGTCCTGATATTTCCAGCATGTAATATTCATTGTGGTGCGACTACAATTGGCAACTGTTTACCTGGATAGTACGATTCCTGATTATTGTCTATCTTCATATTTAGATACGTCATTTAGATCCTACCTTTTCTTAAGGGTGTTCAGGTCAATGTATAAAACTTCAGCACATTTTATTCTTCCACAAATGTTTGTTGTGCAGATAGATTAAACATAACAAATGTAATAGGCTTGAGAACTCTTGAGGTGCAAAAGATCTGAATTGAAATTTCTTCGAAAGAATGACCAGATTTCTTTATTAGTTGTACAACAAGTTTCATTATGTTATTCCCTTGCGAGCAAGTAATATTATGCACAGTGCAAAGAAAAAATTAAAGGCAGGAAAAAAAGCAGTAAGCAATAAAGATCTGAAAATAAAAGAAATTGAAAGGGACAAAACATAAAGGAAAAATAACTTTCCCCCAAATGAGCAACAGGTATTTTTTTTCTCTGTCAATGAACAGCTGATTTTTCTGCCAAAGCTTTATGGCAGCTTTGTTCCCTAGAATTGAAAGGAAGTAACTACGAAAGACCCAAGAACTTTGAACAATTGTGCAGCTTTGGAGGAGAGAGATCTTGAAGATTGCAATTCTCAGTAAGGAGTGATCAGAAGGGTGAGACTTTTTCCTTCAGCTTTGTTTTTTTAAACACGCCTTGGTTTTAATTGCACTTTAAAAATTCCTCTATTTTTTGTATATTTTAATAGACTAGTTGATTGTTGATCTATCTTGTAACTCTTGCTGGATTTAACATCTTTCCTTTGTTCTCTCATTGTTTACCATTGAACTATAAAATACTTTTACTTTTCATAAGAAAGTTGTCGGTGAGAATTCATTCTCCAGTAGTGAAAATCACTCAATTGGACTTACACTTACATTGGATTATATAATAAGGATTTTATTCTTACCAGCTTTTAAAAAAATGAAACATGGAAAAATGCCTTTTCTTTTTATTACTTTTGACCCTGAATAAAATTTTAACTTCTCTCTATGGATATTTTATCATAATATATCTGTTTCTCTTGTTCTTGGAAGGAAGAGTATATTTTTCAAAATGTCTGAGGTAAAGCTTTCTGGAAAATCTTTGAAAAAAGAATGCTTTCTAAGCTTTTTTTGAAGATATAAATAAAAAATTTGATGGGTTAACAATGGTTTTGAATCAAACCCAGGATGATACCCAAAAGCAGAAAATAACAGTGGGACTTAATTTGCAGTTTGATGAATTGGAATCTGATTTGTTGCTACCTTACACAAAGAAGAAAGAACCTGGTCTGAACATTACAGATTTGGCAGAAAAGATTGATAAATATAAAAAATTCAGAGATAATGGAACTGATGAGTGATGGAGTGGACTTTTTAGGCAAGATCAATCTTATGTTTTCAGAGTCCTTTTGAACAATGGATGCTTCAGAGACACCTACAACAAAGACTTACAGCTCTAGGAAATGGGATGCAATTGTTGGGGAAGTTCGTAACTAAAATTCTAAGGAATGTTTTCATTATTAAAAATCAAATGAGAGTATTTGATCCTGGACAGATTAGAGATAACAATTGGGGTGCTTTGTAGTAGATAAGAAACCTGTAGACTTTTTACACGTTAATTACACCAGATTGTTAACAAAGGGCTTTGAAGTTTAACTTTGTTGTTGATTAAACTGTTAACTATTATAAGAACTAGATGTACTATATAACAGGTCAATTGGTTGCAAATAGATGGTAGAAGTTTATAAATCTTAGACCTTAGTGCAAGTGGAGAAGGCTATTATTGTTGCAATATTTAGTTTAGTTTGTTCTTGTAAAAATTCCATTTTTTCCCCTTGGAGTTTTGTCTTTTAATTGTCTGTATTAAAAAAAAATAACAAAAATAACAGAAACCAAAGGAAAAGTAGACCAGTAGACTGAACTATACAGATGACATAACACTGAACTATACAGATGACACTCAGAAAGAGTTGCAATTACGGTAGTGACAGATAAATTAACATTACGGATTTAAAATATGTTCAACAAAGAAGTATCAGTTATGTCACTGCGCTCAATGGAGAAAACGCTAACAATTTCCTAACTACTTCCTGGAATACAGCACGTACAAATTTCACCAACATTAACTTATTCCGTACTAATTTTATTTTTAAACTACATAAACAAGACATAGCCTTGCGTGATGTGTGAAACTTGTTTTTTTTAAAAAATACATTGAGGTAACGAAGTGAAGATTCGAAACAAAATCCAGACATATTTAACCGAAACCCGAGTTGACACCCGTCTATTTATATTGTACCGTATAATTATATGAAAGGATTCGTTGAAAAACAACTTTTTAAACGGGCGATTATTACTAACACCTAAAAAAAAACAAAAAACAGTCTCGCTGGCGGCTCAACACCTACCCTTCGAATTTAGAAAAGGAGGCGATCACTAAAACTACTAGTCCCATCATGCTCTCGGGTTGCGTCGCATTTCTTTATACTTATTCCTTCCCCCGCACCAAGACGCTCGGGTGGCTTGTGCGCATGCGCCTAGTAAGCAGCGTCCGGGGCAGGCGGGCAGTCTCACCCTAATGTAAGATGGTGGCCGGTCTGGCAGCGGAGCGCGCAGAGCCTAGAGATTACCCGTCTCTCAAATAAAGGTCGTCGGTGGAGACCTCTATCCCCGCTATCATCAAAAAGAACCAGGGCCCGAAAGAGTATTGCCGCCCCCGCCACCAGACAGCCCGGTTGCTGTGGAACAGGGACGACGAGGTGGGTAAGTGAGCGAGCAGTAGGGGCTGGGGGAGCCCGAGTTGTGAGATCGTGGAGGCGGCTTCTCCGGGAGCCCGAAGGCCTCAACTTTTCTCGGTCCTCTGCCTGCCATGGCTCCTTGGTCTCTCTGGGGCGGAGAGGCAGGAGGAAGGCAAAGGGAGCCGGCGAGCCAATGCCAGCGGCGAGGGCCGACAGTCTCTGCCCGGCAGCGGAAGGGGCTTCTGGGGCTTCATTGCTTGAGCCGGAGATCTCCTGGTCGGAGAGGAGATCCGACTGACCCTGGGAACCCAGGCTCAGGCTTTGTGGGGAGGGGGCCAGGAATAAAGGGAGGCGGAAAGACCTGTGCAGGGCTTCTCTGCTTGACATCTTATTCGGGTTTTCCAGCTTTAGTAGGTGAGAGGTGGCCGGACCTGCTGCTGTAAGCGATTGATGCTTTGCTGGGTTTCAGATGAGGTGGGGTGCAAAAAAAATCAAATCAAAACAAAACCAACCAAAATCTACCTTTCCATATGTTGAAAAGAAATGGGAAGAAATTCCAGTCTCCACAGTAGCAGCACGTGTGTTTGGTTGTGGGTGTCAGTTAACTGTATGGGTGTTTCCTCTTTTACACTATTTTTATATACCATTTGAGTTTCCCTGGATGGAAAACTCATATTTTCTTAATAGGTTTTTGTGTTCCCCAGCAGCCAGTTCCTTTCATTTTATGTCTCTTGGTATTCTTGAGTTAAGCAGTTAGAGAAGAGATTTCACACTTCAGAGTTTTGGATTGCCTTGTCTCCTTTTAAAGGGATGCTGTGGGCCAGCCATCTATTTTGCTCTCTAATGTTGCCATATAACAAATCTCTGAGAGTTTCTCCTGATAATGTAAAGGTAAGCTAAGCAAGTTTGTCAGTAAAGAAGTCAGTTATATAATGGCATATATTTTATCTATGATGCGTACTGTAATAAAAGAATGAGAGGTGGAATTTTCATATTTAAAAGCTAGCTTACTAATGTTACACCTATTACAGTTTGATGGTTTTGAAGATTTATTATTTCAAGTAAATGGGCTTTTGATAAAGTCATATTCTGACTTTATCATCCATATTCTGTATCCATATTCTGTAATGCTGTCCATTTGTTTTATAATTATTTAAATGATATATGATACAGTCCAAAGTATAGTATCAAAATGTATTTCCTTTATAATAACCCTGGAATTATAAATATATACATAGAAGATGTAAGCGCTATATAATATGTCCTATGGATTACTACTTGGTGTTTTCACAGAGAAAGTCCCATTTTTTTTAAATTCCAGGAAAACTTATATTTAAATGTCCTAGGTCACAGTATTAATTATAAATTTTGAACTAAACTCATGAAAATTCTTAGTAGATATGTACAAGAATACATTGTCAGAAACTGACTTGATAATCAAATCATGTATTGATTTAATAATATGAAAAAGTTTGTATCTAATACACAAACTCAAATACCTAAAACAACTCAGAGCCTTTATACCCTGCTAAAAAAAGTCTTTCTTTTCTTATTTATATGCCACAGAACCATATTTAAAGTGCCCAGTGATTTAATTAAAAAAAAACTACTTTAATGCATCTTTTAACTATATATGTGTGAGTGTGATTTTATGTAGATATTTTTACTTTTTTACTTGAAAAATAAAGTATTAAAATTATTTTAATGATTTTCAAATTTTTCTACTGATCATATATATGCACACATATCAGATCAAGTATTTTTTCAATTTTTCATTTAGAAGTTTTTTTCTAGCAGAAAAAAGCCAGGTAATCTTGTGCAAATGTTTTTGTGAATTTTTAAAATATAGATGACAGAAGAAAAAGGGCCTGTACTTTAAACTGGTACAGATTATAGAGATATCTGGTTGGTTGGAGAACTGCATAATCAGCTTGGTTTTGAAGAAGAATTAGAATATGCTATAAAGTTTTACTGTCTGATAGAATTACTTGATGTTGAAAGGCAAGTAAAATTTCTCTATAACATGAGTTATTTTGATGATTAGTGGTATAGAAAAATACACTATAATTTTTACTATAAAGTTCATGCTTAAATTAATTGGTTTATTAGTGCACTAGAAGATTTATAAATATCTAATATCAAATCTTCATAATTTTACAATATAGTTTCTGATGTTTTTTATAATTTATAAAGTTTAGGATTTAGTGCTATCTTTTGTAGGTGCTGGTATTAATTTAGAATAGAATAAATAGGCATACAATCATCTTAACCAGAACTCAGTAGGGAAAAAAATCTATGATTGTTACTATAAAATTAGTTTTCCTAAAATCTTTAATATATGTAGATTGTTGCTGCTAACTTGTTGTGTTGCTGCTAACTTGTGATTTTCCTAAAATATTTAATATGTATAGATTGATGTGTAACTTGACACATTTCTTTTTTACTTATGAAAATTCTACTGGAATTTAAGATTTGTTTCATATCATTTATAGTATAACAGAAAATCAGAATTGGAAGATACTTTGGAGGTCTTTTAGTTCAACCCCTGATCAAGCAGGAGACCCTATACTATTTCAGACAAATGATTCTCCAATCTCTTCTTAAAACACTTTTGTGATGGAGCACTCAGAACTTCTGAAGACAAGCCATTCCACTGGTAAATTGTTTACATTTTCAGGAAATTCCTTCTTATTTCTAGGTTGCTTCTCTCCTTGATTAGTTTCTATTCACTATTTCTTATCTTTCCTTCTGGTACTTTGGAAAATAGGTTGAGCTCCTCTACTTTGTGGCAGCTCCTCAAATATTGGAACACTGCTATCATGTCATCCTAGTCCTTCTTTTCACTAGAAGAAACTACCAAATCCAATTCCTGCAACCGTTCTTATATTTTAGCCTCCAGCCCCCTAATCATCTTTGTTGCTCTTTTCTGCACTCTTTTCTAGAGTTTCTATATCTTTTTTATAACATGGTGACTAAAACTGGATGCAGTATTCTAAGTGTGGTCTTACTAAGGCTTTATAAAGCATTACTAATACTTCATGTGATCTTGATTCTATCCCTCTGTTATGCAACCTAGGATGGCATTGGCTTTTTTAGCTGCTGCTGCTGCATACTACTGGATCATATTTAAGTCATTGTCCACTAGGATTCCAAGATCCTCCTCACAGTTATTGCTATTGAGTCAGGTTTCACCTAATCTGTACTTGTACATTTCATTTTCTTTGCCTAAATGTAAAACTTATTATTCTTATTGTATTTCATTTTGTTAGATATGGCCTTGTGTTCAAGTCTGTCAAGATCCTTCTGTATCTTGAGCCTATCTTCTGGAGTATTGACTCTTCTTCCAGCTTGGTGTTATCTGCAATTTTGATGAATTTCCCTTCTATCCCCTTGTCTAAATCATTTATGAAGATATTGAAGAGTACTGGGCCTAAGACAGAGTCTTGAAGTACCCCACTGCATACTGGTAGTCCTCAACTTATGACTACAATTGAGCCTAAAACTTCTGTTGCTAAGCAAGAGAGTTGTTAAGTGAATTTTGCTCCATTTTGCAATCTTTCTTGCCACAGTTATTACTGTGTTTCCCCAAAAATAAGACCCTGTCTTATATTTTTTTGAACCCTGAAATAAACACTTGGCCTTATTGCCATATGCTCAAAAGCCTGATTGGGCTTATTATCAGGGGATATCTTATTTTTGGGGAAATAAGGTATGTGAGTCACTGCGGTTGTTAAGTTAGTAACATGGTTAAGTGAATCTGTCTTTCCCATTGACTTTTGCAGATCAGAAGGTCACAATAGGTGATCACGTGACACTGCAGCCATCCTAAATATGAACAAGTTGCCAAGTATCTGGATTTTGATCACATTACTATAGGGATGCTGCAATGGTCGTAAGTGTGAAAAACGGTCATAAGTCACTTACGCTTGTTCAGTGCTATTGTAACTTTGAACAGTCACTAAATGAACTGCTGTAGGTTGAGGATTACATGTACTTCTCTCCATGTAGATGCAGTTTCATTAAAAGTCTACATGTTGAGTGTGCTTGGTCAGCCAGTTATGAATCCATCTAGTGTCGATGATGTCTAACCCACATTTTTCTATCTTATCAAGTAGCAGATTGTGGTCTACTTTATCAAATGCTTTACTGAAGTTCAGGCAAATTATATCCACAGCATTTCACAATTTTGTCACATTGTCAAAGAACACAATAAGATTTGTCTGGCATGATCTGTTTTTGACAAACCTATGCTGGCTTCTGGTTATGATTTTGCTTGCCTCTAGGTATTCATAGAATACCTTTTCCAGAATCTTCTCAGGTATTGATATCAGGATGATAAGGCTGTAGTTTCCTGGATCCACCCCCCTCCTTTTTTTTTAAAGATGGGAACCACATAAGCACCTTTCCAGTCATCTGATAGTTCCCCAATGCTCCAGGGTCTTTGAAAGATATGGTTCAGTGGTTCAGAGATCACTTCTGCCAATTCCTTCAGAGTCTTGGGGTGTAATCCATCTAGTCCTGGTGATTTGAACTTGTCTAGAGTGGATAGGTGTTTGCTTACCATTTTCTTGCTTGCTTTCACTTGCATTCCTAATCTCCATTTTACAGTATGTTTTTTTTAATTACTTGGATTGTTTTTTCCCTTTGTGTAAAGACAGATGCAAAAAATGAATTAAGAATTCTGCTTTCTCCTTGCTGTTGGTCACCTTCTTGCCATTTTGTCCCATCAACGGGCCAATCATTTCCTTGACTTTTTTCTTATTTTTTACAAAAAAGCTTTTTTGTTACTTTTGACATATGTCGCAAGCCTTAGTTCATTTTCAGCTTTAGCTTTCCTGACTTCATCTTTGCAGGTTCTGGCTATTTGCTGATATTCTGTTTTAGTTATGTGTTCCTCTTTCCACTTTACATATTGTCCTTTTTGTCTTTCAGTTTATCAGGGAGTTCTTTGTGCAGATCTCTTCTTTATTCTTCTTTATTGGAATTGTGCTAGACTGAGTTTTTATTATCTCATTTTTCAAAGTT